CTTTTTGATTTTGCCACCGCCGATGCTCGTGCTACCGATGCTGCCGCTCTCGCTCGTGGCCCTGCTCCTCCGTTGTCGTCGTCGCCCTCCTTGCCCCTCCGTCGCCGCCGCCCCCGCCCTCGCCGTGGGCCGACTCGGCTTCGTCGCCGGGCGCCGGGGCCAACGGGGCGATGGAGGGCCCGCGGGGCGGCGCAATGGAGGACCCGCAGGGCGAGTAGGGCGAGGGAGGACAGAGGGAGGGATGGGCGACGAGGGGCGGGCGGAGTCAGGCAGAGTGTAGGATAAGCAAGAGGGCGGAGGAGGGATGAGGAGCAGGGCGACGAAAAGGAACGCGAGGATGGCGATGAGGCGGGGAGGGTGACCAAGAGGGCGAAGGGGAGCTCGAGGACGAGGAAAGCAATGTTGGAGGAGGCGGGGAGGAAACTTAAGATGGCCAGAACGCGAGGCGGAATGCATCGGGGCATTTTTGCGAAGCCTCGTGCCAACCCTTCTGGCACGCAGATCCTGCGGACTGCGGGGCGCTGCCGATCCCTGGCGTCCAATCGCAGGCGTGCAATGAGGGGCGAAGGCAGGATGAGTCGTTGGAGGGGGAGCTCAGGAGGGGGAGGAGGAGGGGGGATCAGCAGGGGGAGGAAGATAAGGAGGAGGAGGAGAAGGAGGAGGAGGATGAGGAATGCGAGCAGGAGGAGGAGGAGTGGTAGCGCCTTCTGGCTAAGTGAGTGACCGTCTTGGGCTTTCCTCCTCCTCAACCTCCTCCCCCTGATTGTCCTCCTCCTCCTCCTCCTGTTCCCCGTCCTCCTCCTCCTCCTCCTCATATTCCTCCTCCTCCTCCTCCTCCTCCTCCCTCATCGTCGCACTCGCCCTCGCTCCGACCATGGCCAGTGCTCGCTCGACCTCGAGTGGTTTCACGGCCCCCCGAAGTTTTAGCAGTGACCAGGAAGCCCCCCAACATGGGCAGAGGATGGCAGCCCTGAGAGACAACATAAAAGCTAAAGAGGCTGCGAACTTGATTTCGAGGGCATAACACTTTCAATGCCCAGCGTTTGGCGCGTTCGCCTTCCGACCTCTTCCGAGGCGCTGTCTTACCTTATGCTCCTCCTCCTCCTTCTCCTCCTCCTCCTCCTCCTCCTCCTCCCCCTCCTCCTCCTACTGCAAGCCCAAGCCCTCACTGGGAGGGCAACCGCTTGAAGAACGCGGTCAACTTCTGCTGCCCTGGAGCCTCTGCTGTGCCCTCCGAGCGCTCGCCCACCCTCCGCAGCTTGGGGGGGCTCTGGAACACGGCGACGGGGGGCAACCTCTCGGCCCAGTCCGCGACCTGGACGTTGCCGACAGTCTGCTCATCGTCGAGCGCCTGCTGATCCACGAGCGGGGGCAACCGCAGGAACCAAGGAACCACGCGGAAGGTCTCGGTCGCGTCCTCGAACAATTTCAAAAGGCGATGAATCGGAACCATGACGCGGCCAATCGTGGGAACAGGCATAGTATTTCCGAGCGCAATCACAATCGTCGAAGCCCTGATCACACCAACGAGCGAATCTGGAACGAACCCCATCGTTTGGCAGCGCTCCGCCAAAGTCAAGAAGCGGCCCTTGCCCCACACCTTGTTCGGCGAGGCTCCGAGGAGCCAGAGGTAGTGCGACTTCGTGGTCATGCAGGGCAGGGCGTCCACGTGCAAGTAGGACCCGAAACGCTTCGACGGGTTCCTGGTCAGATCGCAAGAGCCAATCGTGCCAGCCGGGGGCTCCTTGGCGCTGAACATCTGATTGTACACCTGGGGAGCGGGCCAAACACGACCAGAAAAATCCAACATGTGGGAGATGATGGGTGGCCAAAGGGGGGGAAAAGTAAAGGGCCAGGAGGAGGGGGAAGAAAGGGAAGGAGGAGGAGGGGAGGGGAACGGTGGAGGAACAGATGGGGGTGCTGGACCACCCCGTCGTCCTCCCCCTGACCCTCCTGACCCTCCTCCTCCTCGTCCTCCTCCTGCTCCTGCTCCTCCTCCTCCTCCTGTCCCTCCTTCTCCTAGCTCAACTCCTCTACTCCTCCTGTGCCGCCGCCTATTCCTCCTCTTGATCCTGCTCCTCTCGGGCCCACCCCCATCCTCCCCCTCCTCCTCGTCCTCCTCCTCCTCCTCCTCACCCTCCTCCTCGACCACATTTCCGACTCCGCTGTCAATCATTTAAGGGCGTTGGTTGGGGGAGGCAGGGGGCCTCCACGTTGCTCGCCAGGCCGGGCGCGTCGGGCGTCTCATCCACGCGGTCGGCGTCGTTCAAGAACTGAGAGAGGGGCACGGGGTCCATCTTGCGGCAGGGCTCGAGAGGCTCGCGGAAGCTAATGTGCTGGCGAATCGGGCGGAACAGGATGGAGCGAAAGCCCGAGATGTAGATCCGAGCCCTCTTCGACGGGAGCCCGTCGCCCGTCGAGCAGACCTCCTGCCACGTGACGTAGAACTCCTGGGGGGGGGTCTCGTCGTCGTGGTCATCGCTTTCATGACCGATCAGCGCCTGCTCTATCGGCCACGTCGGGGGGATGTATTCCAACTGCGTGCTTGCACTGTTGGCCCTATCGAACGTGTTACCACTATCCCCAATCAGTGCTTGCACCATTCGCACAGGGGGGCCAAGTCAGCGCTGACACTACGGACGACGACGACGACCACCGCGACGACTAACGATAACTACGGCGACGAGGACAGCAACGACGACGACGACCATGGACGCCGACGACGACGACGACGACGACAACTACGGACGACGACGACGACGACGCGAGTGCCGATGGGCGACGACGGCGTCCGTCGTCGTCCGTCATCGTCGTCGTCGCGAAGTCGTCGTCAAGTAGTTGTTGTCGTCCGTCGTCGTGGTCGTCGTCGTCGTCCGTCGTCCTCGACGTCCGTCGTCGTAGCCAGTCGTCTTCGTCCGCCGTTCGTCGTCGTCGCCCGTCGCGCGGAGCTCGCGTGGGGCCCAACGACGTCTGAAACGTTATGTACACATCAGCGACAGTCAACAGGCTCAGGCTGCTACCCGCTGATCCTCCTCACCCTCTTCCAACTCCAATCCCCTCACCAGCGTTAACTCGCTCGGCATGCCGAGCTGCCCCATCCTCCTGCTCCTCATCTCTATGGCGCCTTACCATTCCGCCCTCCCCCCCCCCATTCGGATCCGACATGTGCTGCTTAAACCAAGGGAGGATCGTCTCGAAGAGACTCGCAGGCTGCTTCTTGTACTTCATTGCTATGCCTTTCACGTTCTCTAACACGAACCATTTCAACTGCTTGCTCCCCTGCCACTTCAGGAGCTCCAGCATCTTCAAGCACACCGACGGTGGGGAGCAGCACGCGGCGACGAAGGCCGGCAGGGGCAGGAGGGCGCCCATGGGAGGAGAGCTGGATGACAGAAGCGAGGGAGGGTAAGCTGATCACGACACGCAGCAGGAGGAAGTGGCTGGGGCGTGGAGGACGCGCGGGGGCAGGGGATGGGGAGGAGAGCGGAGAGGGGTGGGCAGTGGGATAAGCTAGGATGGAGAGGGCCAGGGGCGGGGCGGAGGGAGGGGGTGGGCAAGACGAGGATTGAGAACAGGACGCACAGCAGCATCAGCAAGAGTTCGAATCAAGCCGATCGCACCAGAGCCCTGTCGTCGTCGAAGCACCCCCGGGAGCCAACGAACGACCAGGGCGGGCATGGCCACCCGCAAACGAAGCCGTCGGTCTTGTGGAAGACCCCACCCTCGATCTCGTTCAGCGCGTTGACGCGCAGGCGCAAGATGTCCCCCGCCGCCTGCGGGCGCGCGGCTGGAGGGGGGATGGCCGAGCAACGACTGCGGCTGCGGCGACGACGACTGCGGCTGCGGCGACGGCAGACGACGACAGACGACGACCGACGACCGACGACCGACGACGACGACGGACGACTGACGACGACGACAACGACGACGACAGACGACAGACGACAGCGGCGACGACGACGACGATAGACGATAACGACAACGAATGACGACGACGACGACGAGGACGACGACGACGAAAAACGACGACGACGCGACGTCGCGACGACGGACGACTGACGACGACGACAACGACGACGACAGACGACAGACGACAGCGGCGACGACGACGACGACGGACAATAACGACAACGATGACGACAACGACGAGGACGACGACGGCGAAAAACGACGACGACGCGACGTCGTCCGACCCATGCGGTGCGCCTGGGAGGGTGAGCTCATACGGAGCGAGGCGAAGTCTGGACGTCTGAGCTGTATCTTTTCCCCTATCACATCGTGCGTTGGCGGCGGCTGTGTATGCTGCCTCGAACCGTTGCCCAGCGAGCGCCCCTCGGGGGCATCGTCCATCGAGGGGGCCCGCAAATCCCTTGGCTGGAGGCGTGCTGGCGCCGCGCCGCATGCACACCTTGGCAAAGTATTATGCAGGGTCCCTTGGGAGACGTGAAAACAGAGCTGCTCACGCTGTAGCTCATTGCCCCGAGTTGTCATGTAGCCTTCCCTGTACCCCCCCCGCTACTGAGCAGTAAATCGAAAGGCCCATCGCCGATCTCCCCACGGCGACAGGCAGAGCACTGGGGCAACGCATTGCGCTGCCTCCCAGGGTGCTAGAGGCCAGGAAAGTCAGCCAGCGGTGGAGCAGGGAAGCAGACTTAGGGACGTGGAGGAGACATAAGAGGTGCACGACACAGAGTACACTCGCTGGAGATACGAGGAGGACGCGAAGGCAATGATAAAGGATATTGGGATATCGTGATGAGGATGGCTGGGGGTCTTGAAGGCAAGGAGGGAGAGGCGACGTGGCAGGAAGATGAGCAAGTTGAGGATGACCAAGCAGGAGTGAGAGGTGGAGGGTGGAAGGGCCGCAGCAGGAATAAGGAGGGCATCAGCAGCGGCAGCATCATCAGCAGTGGCAGCTCTGGAGGGGAAGAGGGTGAGAGTCGAGAGTGCTTGGAGCAAGGACCTGCAAGCGCGGCATGCAAGCGCAGCCCTTGGAGCGCCTACGCCGCCATGCCGCTCTGCGCGTTGAGCGACAACCACTTCCACCACTCCTCGTAGAGGGTCCCACGGATGCCCTGGTAGGCCTCCATCGCGGCGGAGACGGTCTTCTCCACGACGACGAGCTCCTCAGGCCAGGGGGGCGACGTGCCCCACCTGATCCCCTTGGTCAAGGATGTCCGAAACTGCGCGTACACGTACCCAGTCGGCAACACGGCGACGTCGCCACTCGAGAGGACGAAGCAAAAGTTACCGTCCTGCCTTCCCAGGGTCAGCATGTCATGGCCAGACAAGCCTTTCAGGTACTCCACCTGGTTGGAGAGCCCGCGATTCTCGGTGTCGATCTTGACTCCCAGGATCACCTCCTCCCCCTCCAAGATCATGCGGGCCTCGGCCAAGCCATACGGGAGGGGCGCCACCGCAGAGTGCAAGCGCGGCAGGATGAAGCACTGGGCCCCATAGAGCGTCTTGTGGAGCGCCTGCTCCTTGGGCCCCGAGGCGATGAAGGCGGAGCGGAACAGGTACCCCACATCCTTCTTCTCGAGCTTGCTGAGCTGGCGGATCTGAGCCAACACCGCCGGCTGGACCACGTTGCCGTAAGCAGGCGAAGCGCCCGCCGAGCCCCAGCTCTCAATCTTGGTGCGCATCCACGCCTCACAGGCCTTCCAGCCCGATGCCACCGCCACGTCCTTGCACAGCGAGGGGGTGCTGACCACGACCGCCTTGCCGAAGGCCAGCTCGGAGAGGTCGCGAAGAACGCCGACTGGAGAGCCCCGCGCCTCAGCCGCGAGGACCTGCATCGCGGGGCCGAGGTTGCTCGAAAGGTCCACCTCCATCTGCGGCGCCTCGCTCTCTGCCTTGCGCTTCTTGCCCGCAGCGGATGCGTCGGCCGCCTTTCTAGAGAAGTGCGCCTTCGCGTCCTGGATCACCCTCTTGGTTGCGACGGTGTGGCTGTGGACCTCCTTCTGCGAGTCGAAGAGAACCTTCAAGCTGCCGCGAAGGGCCTTGACGTCACCATCCCAAGAAACGCTCCTGACGCTAGCCTGCAGCTCAGCATGCCGGCCAGAGATCCGCGCCACCTCTTCGTCGCACTTAGTCCTCACCAGGACGAGCTTCGGGTAGACCGCAGACCAGGTCTCGCTCTCCAAGTCTTCCTTGGAAACCCTGCACTCGATGAACTCCTTGACCGAGAGGGCCTCGGAAGCCTCGGGGGATGCGTGCATTTGAATGCAAACGGAGACGAGGCGAGTGGAAATAACATATGGAGGCAGTAGAGGGAAAGGGGAGAGGGGATAGAGAACAGGAAGAAGTTTGGAAAATGAGAAAGGGGAGAGGAAGAGGGGGGTGATGAGAGGGGTGATGGAGGCAAGGGTGCAAGGGAGGAATGGAGTTATGGAATGACGAGGTGCAAAAGAAGGGAAAAGCGAGGCAAGGGAGCAAGCGAGGGACACAGAGGACAAGAGGACAGCGAGGAGGGCCCCTGGGGAGGAGTCCGGGAGAAGGTCGCTTTGCAGCGAGTGCGGTGAGTTCAGAGTGCGGGGCGCGAGGGGGCGGAGGAGGAGGAGGAGGCGGAGGAGGGGGGGGGGAAGATGAAGAGGAGGAGGAGGCGGAGGAGGAGGCGGAGGAGGAGGCGGAGGAGGAGGGTGGGAGTCCTCCTCCTCCTACTCCTCCCACCCCCTCCCTGGCACTCCAGCGCAGCCCTTCATGGGGCCGTTTCATTGCTGCCCACCTGGCACTCCAGCGCAGCCTTCATCTTGGACAGCTGCGACTCGATCGCCTTCTCCGCCCCGAAGCGCGCCTGCACGATGTTCGTGACCTTGTCGCCCGAACTGCCCTGCGAGTGGGCCCTGGCCTCGACTTCCTCGGCAAGGATCATCGCCTCGTAGCGCCTCTGGGCCTCCTTCCGCTCCTGCTGGGACTGCAAGGAGCTGTTGAACTGGGCGCCGAAGTTGCCGACAGACTCCGCGGTCATGGGCGCAGCGCTCGGGGAGTCGTGAATGGCCTCCATGAAGGCGTCGGGCGGCGCGATACCATTGGCAGAGTCGTCCTGCGGCAGGGCGGCGATAGCCAACTGGGCGCCCGACCTGGTCGCATTCATGCTCTGCGCCATCTGTGCCATGAACGCGTCGAGATTCGACTGGTTCGTCGAGTCCGCTTCCTGAGTGGCTGTCGCACATGTCCTGGACGCTGTGATCTGGTCAGCTACGATGCCCTGGTACTCGCCGATTAACCACTGGCCGCGGTTCTTGGGATCAGGCATGACCGCGAACTGCTTGGACATGCAGCGACGGCGGAACTCAGCCACCTGAGCTGGGCGACCCACGAAGCCCTCCAAGGCGAGGTCGCGGGCAACGAGGGGCCACGGCTTCCAGTGGGTCCTGGACCTGGCCTCCTCGCCCTCTTCCTTCGTGGAAGTCAGCGCGATCCTGACCAGCTCCTTGCTATCCTCGGGCGCAGTCGAAAAGAATGAGGGCATTACAAACAAAAATCATTGGTGGAGGTGGAGTCGGAAGGGGGCGGAGTAGGCAGAGCAGGAGAGGGGAGGAACAGGGACAGGGCGGGAGCAAGAAAGGGGAGAAGAGGGGGAGGACAAGCAGGGCTGGGACTTACCTCCCCCCAACGCTGGGCCCCCCCAGGTGACTTGCAACTGCGACCAGGAGGCCCCCCCGATCTGCGCGGCCACGAGGCTGGCCCGGGCTGTGCAGGGGGTGGGGTCAGAGGGGAAGGTGCCCACCTTATCCCCCTCCCACTTCTCGTATTCCCTCCTCCCACTGGACCTCCCACTCTGCCATTTCGCATCCCCACCCTCCTCCTCCTGTACCCCTGTCCTCAGGGAGCGTTCGACCAAGTGGTGTGGGCCCCCCTTGGCCCCTTGGCGTTTGCGCCACACCCGCTGGTCCGGGATGGCTTGGTTGCGGTGGTTGGCGTACCATTCCATCTTCTCCGCTTCGGTCTTGTCGCTGAACCATTTCTTAAGCTGCTTATTCTTTTTCCATCGCTTCGTCAGGTTCTTATAGTTCCTAACGCACTTCTCGCAAGTGTCTTTCGAAACCCTCTCGTCTTCGTTCTTCTCATGGCTCGGCAAGGTCAGGCCGCACTTCTTGCAGTCGAAATCGTCGCAGCCCATGCCGCCCCATGTCTCTTCGGCCGCCGGGTCGGGCAAAACGAGCTCATGGCCGCCCTTCACGACGGGGGCGCACTTCAGCCCAGGCAACCCAGGCGTCCCAGGCGCCGGGCCAGGGCTCCAAGACGGCACATCGGTCTCAGCAGGACCGAGACCGAGAGAAGCGAGGGCGTCGACACCGCCCGTGATAGGGGTGCGCGTGCCCCCGCCCTCTCCGATGCCATCGCCGCCCCCGAACTCCACGTCTGCATCAGGGCCAGTCTCATCCTCAGCCTCCTCCTCGCCCTTATCCTCCTTCTCAGCCTTATGAGGGTGCTTCTCATCAAGATTGGCAGCACCATCTTTCGCCACCTCGGCTCCAGTTACAGCACTCCCGACACCACCTGTTGCGGATGCCACCTCAGGGGCCTTCGATGCGGGCGCTGCCTGCTGGGGCACCTCCGCGGCCGCGGGCGCTGACGGCGTGCCAGCGGCTGTCGCCGCGGGCGGAGGCGTGGCCTGCTCCGTCGGCGGCGCAGTCTGCTTGCCGAAGGCGGAGGCGATGCTCTGCATACCTGGCGGGGTGCCCGCAGCAGTCTTGGGCTTGTTGGGGGCCATCAGGAAGATGCTCGCTGGGCAACTCAACTGAAGGGCCCCAAGCTCACTCAGGAGCAAGACACCTGCTGTCTCTAACCAATCACCTCGAGCCCAAATGGCTCGGTAAAACCTCCTCCTCCTCCTCGTCCTCGCTCTCCTCCCAAGTCTCCCCACCCCCCTGCCCTCGCCCCTCGGGGCACGCTCCATCTGGCGGGGAGAGGAGGGAGGGAGGGGCCACTGCATCCAGGATCAACTGCATCTGGGACCACAGGACCACGGCCGATCGGGGTGCGGGGTGCAATCCTTGCATGGATCGCCCCAAAAGCTTAGACCATATCTGCTCAGACGCACGTCACATCACACGTTCCCGTTTCCACCCCCTCATCATCATTCATCATTTCCCCTCACTAATCATATTTGCATCTGAAATTTGTCGAATGTGTAGTATGTAGAACAATGCATGTTCATGTATACGATTTCGTCATGAACATATCATCATGGTACCAACTGGCCGTCACAATTAGGGCTCAAGCGATTCCCGAGATCATTGCCAGAGATCACACCTAGCTCAGCCCGAGATCATCGCTCAGCCCGAGATCATTGCCAGAGATGACCCCCAGGACGCCGTCCCAGCCCGCCCTGAAATGCTTCACGGAGCTCAAAAAGTGGCACACGCATACTACTGACCAAGGGTGGGTGGGTCACCTCATCGGCCTCAATTGGCAGGCGAACGAAGTGATTGAGACGTGGCGCTGGAAGCCGCCAACGGACGACAAGGGCGACAAGGGCGGCACGGTCATCAAGGGCGGCACGGCCATCAAGGGCGGCACGGTCCGCAAGGGCGACACGGTCCGCAATGGCGGCACGGTCGACAAGGGCGACACGGTCAGCAAGGGCGACACGGTCGGCAAGGGCGACAAGGGCGGCACGGTCCGCAAGGGCGACAAGGGCGGCACGGTCCACAAGGGCGACAAGGTCATCAAGGGCGGCACGGCCCGCAAGGGCGACACGGTCAGCAAGGGCGGCACGGCCAGCAAGGGCGGCACGGTCCGCACGGGCGACAAGGGCGGCACGGTCCGCAAGGGCGACACGGGCGGCACGGTCCGCAAGGGCGACAAGCGCGGCACGGTCCGCAAGGGCGACAAGCGCGGCACGGTTCTCAAGCGCAAGCATCGCTGAGCTCTAGAGATTGGGCACGTCGTACACAATGTTGTATGCAGATTGGTTCGACATTGAAATGGTGAGGGGTGGGATGGAGATGTGCGGGGTGGTGAATATACGGGGATGGAGAATGGATGTGCAAGAGGCATGGATGCGGACGGTGATGTTGGAGGAGGGACTTGGATGGAGGGGAGGAGGGAGGGACCACTGCGAGTGATAGCTCAGGGAGCGCCCGAGACGGAGGGAAGGATGGGGGGGTCGCCACTGGAATGCCGACCGACGCTTGGATGGAGGGAATGAGGGACTGGCCCTCGTGCTGCCGAGGAGGCATGGCCGAACGGGGAAGAGCTGCAAAGGTGCAAGGGTGCGACCTCCTCCTCCTCGGAAGTCTCGGACTGCCCGCAAGGATGCCAGCTTCCCAAGGAAATCCTCCAAGGCCTGGACTCAGTGGGCAGGAGGGGTGGTCATGATAGTAATGGTGATGGTGCTACTTGTGATGACGGTGGCGATGATGACGGTGCTGATGATCATTGGAGACGGTAGTGACGATGATCGCGGTGGCGACGAGAAGGACCGATTCGACGACGATACCGACGACGACCACGACCACGACCACAACCACGACGACGACCACGACGACGACGAGCACGACGACGACGACGACGACGACGACGACGACGACGACGACGACGACGGCGGCCACGACGACGACAACTGCCACGAGGACAACGACGACGACGACGAAGACGACGACATGCTGGCAGTCGGGCGGGGCAGGGCGCGGCACACCGCACCGTAGTGGAAGCAGTCGTGGCGGGTGCCCAGGGAATCGTGCAAGAGCTTTGCGGCCGGCTCCAGCTTGTCCTCCCGCCCCCTCTCCGCCGTTCCCCTCCCTCGTCTCCTCTGCAGTCGATCAGATGTCCTACTGGTCTTCTCATTCTTGAGCCCTCGTATCCCGAAAGTCCCTGCTTGCCCACCTCCCCCTGGCTCCCCCATATCTCCCCCCCCATCCACCTCCTACTATTCCTCCCCCTCTGTTTGGGCGACGTTGTCATCACTGCCCTCGCCACTCGCAGCCCGATCACCACGCCCATTGCACATGGACCCCCCATCCCCTTCCTCGATGTCGTAGACGTTGCAAGCCTTCCAGTCCCAGCCAGCTTCGCGGGCAGCGCGTTCGGCGGCTCCGATGCCTCCCCGATCGCGCGTGGAGGGAGCGGCAGAGAGTGAGCGACAGGGAGACGACAGCCGAGCGAGGGGCTGAGAAGGGGAAGCACTAGCGAGAGGGAGCGACAACCTCCCAGGCCCTGGACTGCCTCCAGCGGCTGCCCCCCGAATCCGACCCACAGCCCCTGCACGGCCCCTCCTGCGCAGAGCAGCGTCACCAGCTGCTGGCCTCGAGGGCGGCCGTGGTCAGGGCAGATTGATTGCCGCACCCACAAAGGGTCATCATAGCAATACTGGGCCTGCCCAGCCATCCCTTGAGGAGGCCGATCGCGAAGGGGGCCCGGGCACGCCGCTGGGGAACACCGCAGCCCTGGAAGAGCCCTTGAGGCAAAATGCATCGGAGCCCGTCGGAGCACTGGACGGGCGACGACGACTCGGGGGCCCAAGTCTCTGGGCAGGTCCAAGTCCATCTAAGGCAATTGTGGGAAGGGTAACACATATTGCAAAGCCCCCCCACCCACTGCAGCATCTAACCAACTCCCTGGGAGCACAGGGGTCACATACCAGATACGGCGAGCGCTAAAGGGCACAGGGGTCAGATGCAAGAAGCTATGAACGCTCAAGGGCACAGAGGTCTCAGGCAAGGACATATGAGTACAACCCGACTGGCCAGCCCTTCGCCTGCCGCTGACCTCGCCAAGCTACCGTGCCACCGTCGGCCCCCATCGGCCAGGTGGGGCGTTCTCGGGGAGGCGGAGACAACTAGTTCGTCTGCGTGTGGTATTGTGTTTGCGCGTGTTCTCCTTCCCCCCGAAGCCAGCCTGTGCGTGCGGTTTTTTGCTTGCCTGTGCATTTTCTGAATGTTCGTTCGAGGATTCGGGCCTCGGGGCCGTCAAAAAAAACAAAAACAACAAACAAAAAAAAAAAACGCGTTGCGACCTCGCGATTTCCTTTCCGCCCCCCCACTGAACCCCCGCCCCCTCCCGCCCCCCTCCCGCCCCCCCTCACCGCCCCCCTCCCGCCCCCCCCCCGCCCCCCCCGCCCCCCTCCCCGCCCCCCACCCCCCCCTCCCCGCCCCCCTCCCCGCCCCCTCCCGCCCCCCCCCGCCCTCCCACCCGCCCCCCTCCCGCCCCCCTCCCGCCCCCTCTCCCGCCCCCCTCCCGCCCCCTCCCGCCCCCCTCCCGCCCCCCTCCGCCGCCCCCCTCCCAGCCCCCTCCCGCCCCCCTCCAGCCCCGGCTCCAGCAACCGCTGCCTTGTCGCTCGCGTTTCGTCGACCAGTGGGCCGGGACTTTGTGCGTTGTGGTGGTTTGAAGTCGTTTTCGCTGATGTTTTGCGCTGTGGTCGCAAGTCTGTGGCGCGGTTCAGTCATGGCGTGCTTGGCGCGTGGTGGTGCGCGTGAACGATGCGAAATTACTGGCTGACAAAAGTGAGCACATCAGAATATAAACCGATGGCCCGAATAAAACGCACCGAATGGATGAACCTGGCGCCCACCTGGCTTGGAGCGACGTCACGCTTCGACAATCACCAACGCAAGACACATTCTGAGGGCCGTGGGCTGGGGAGAGCAAGCACAACGGCAACGAGAAGGCTGAGTCCGAGAACCTGAGAAGGATAACAGTTAGAGAACATGGACCCCAGCATGTGGACCCGCACACAGCGCACCGCACTGGGCATGCCAGTGCACATGGGCCTCACAGGAAGGATCCCAGAGTGCAAGCAAAGTCTGGGGCAAGAAGGAGCGACGAACGCACCTCCCGCGCGCCCCTCGGAGCGCGCCCCCAAGATGCATGGGGCGAGTTCTGCGTGGCGGATTACATTCCCGAGGCCCCCAGAGCCCCACTGAGGCAAAAGCTGCTCGAGGGCCAGGGCGCGATTCGAGGGCATGCGTGAGGTGAGGTCCCCGCTCCTCCTCCTCTTCCTCCTCCTCCTCATCCCTGCCTCCACCTCTCCCATCCTTCCTCCGCCGCGGCGGGCCAGGGCAAGCCCCTTTTGCCTCTCCGCCGCTCGCGACGATCAGGAATGCTCGCCCTGGGCGACCTCCGCCATGGCCTCCGCGAGCTCGTCAGCACCAGGCCTGACGCGGCAGCGACACGGGGGGGCAGAGACGGAGCGGCGGAGCAGAGTTGCGAGCGAAGAGTGGGGGCCAAAGACAGAAGGTCGGTGGAGATGGGGCTGGTTAGGCAGGGTTGTCGGGACGCTGTGCAGTGCGATGCGCATGGGGCTGAAAGAAAACTGTTCCTCTCCTCCCTATCCTCCTGCTGCTCACCCATCCCCTCTCTCCTACACCGCCCTCCTCGTCGCAGCTCGCGCCCCCTCCTCCCCCTAGTTGCCACAGCGGACGCAGCGCGGCGGAAGCCGAAGAGCAGCCGCCCACCCATTGTCACTGATCAGGATCATCAGACCAGGAGCTGACAGGGGGAGCGACGACAGGGTCGAACGATTCTTGGCAGAGCGAACCAGCAGCACGTCGAAAGAATGCAGCGGCGCCGAGAGCTGACCGACCCGTCTACACAATATTAGAGCCTAAGTGCAACTAACCTCATTCGGCGCTCATCGCGCGCCGTGGCACGCAGCCCACATCAGAAGCTCTCAGCCTCTGTGATCGCACCGCCGTATGGAACTATTTCTGGGAGAGGTCCAAATGC